TGGCCAGTAGAAGCAACAGTATCTCACCCACCTTGGAAAAGTACCTAAAACCACAGATGGTTTTGTAGCTCCCCAAGGGTTAAGGAGCTGCCAGGAAGAGTCCAAAATGCATGACTGGGGCTGAAGTGACAATGGCCTGCTGCTTGTGACAGCTCAGTGCCACACTTCAAAGGCAGTGGGTCAGGGAACAGAAGTGCACCAAAGGCTGCAGGGGCTCCCAGCCTGCATGGGGAGGTGCAGCAATCTCCTCTGCTGGGACTTCAAGAGCCTCCTGTCTCCTGGCCTAAGCAGCTCAGCCATTAGTAGAGCCCATTCTTTTCGGGGCTGTCGCCTCCTTTGATTGATGACAATCATTAATCAAACCTACACACCTGAGCTTTATACAGAAAAAACAAAAAAGGGAGGGGACAGGCAGAGAGCCTTGCACTGTTTTGCTGACAGCACTGATAACATCTCCAGTTTTGTGGGTCATTTTTCTTCACCTGTCTGATGAGTGATAAATCTGTAAGTGCTGAACAACAGGAGTGGCTGGGAGGCCAAGTTTTCTTCTGGTTTAAGAAAGAAAAACAGATAATTTAATGGAAGAGGTTTATTAGAAACTGGGGGAGGGGGAAGGAAATAACTTTTCCCCTTAAAGTGAAATTGTAGAGCAGTTGGAGATTTTTGTACAGAGGTAAGTAAAATTGGAAAAGGAACATCTCCCTTTATCAGAATCTATCTGGGAAGTGTATGTTCTCTGAGGTTTTGTTGAAGCTGTTTATGCAGGAGCAGCATGGTTACAGGTGAACTCCTGCAGAGATAAAAGACTCTTAGCAGTGTTATGCCCATGCTGGAAGGGACTAAGTGCTGTCAGCTTAGGCTTTCTGTACTTTTATTACTACATTTATGCCACTGACTGTGCAGAGACTGACATTCTGGGAGAAGGCAAAGAAAAACAGAGTCCCAAGTGTTACAAAATCACAGTGCAGAAAGGAGCTGTGTCTTTGATTTAAGTACTTTGACAGTTTTGGAGAAGAAACAAATCAATGCAAACCCCAGGCTCACCAGAACCCACCAAAAAAAGTTCTATTTAACATAAAGAGCATGTTCTAATTATTTTGAGGTGCTTTCTGTGCAAGGAGCCATTGGGATCACAGCTATTGCTGAGGAACTCTGCTGTTCAGGGATGCTTTCAGGGCACTCTGGGGACAGGCAACATTCCAGGTCCCCAATGAAATTTAACTGCACTCGTTTCACAGCACTTAAAAAGTTGACACTTTGTCTTCTTTCAGATGCAAGTCTTGTTTTCCTACAGTATATTCACAACTTTTAGGAGAATGATCAGGATATTATAAAGTAGATAGAGTAGGTCACAGGTTGCTGACCTTCCAGATTTTGTCCAAATGCTCAGATTTCAAGTTCAGCAAGCTGGGTAAAATTTGGACATGTGTGTACAGGGCTTCAGATTTATCACAGCAAATGAAAATTCAGAAACACGTAGGCAGAATATTTTAAAATAATCTCCCATAAATGGGAATTAGGAAAGGTTTTTGGGGACAGGCTGTTTTATTACCCTATTGCACCTTCCCCTGAGGCAACAGTGTTGCATTCAATGAATAATTGATCTGAGCAATGATACCAGTTCCTACATTTACAGAAAATGCAGTATGACCTACTATTCCAGTTAATTGTTAAAGTTCATTGTTAGAAAGCATTTTGACTGTGTGGCATTTTATCCCTTTATTTACATTTTTATAAATGTTAATAACTTTCTTTTCCAATAGATGGATTTAATTTGTCTGCCAATCACTGATAACAGCTTTCACTACTGATGTTCACTTAAAACTGTTTCTAGCAATATTGCAGTTTCAGAAACATTCCTGATTAATTTGTGGGGGGATAAAAAATAGGAGCAAAATTTAGTATCCAGCCCACATCCTCCATTACCTGTGAAGCAGGATACTCCTAAATTGTGGAGGGTATCTTCCTGTCTGCATAGGAGAGACAAATCAACAAAGAGACACTTCCCACTTTGTCCCTCCCTCCCTAAGTTGAGCCTCCTTGCCTCTGGCACTGGTGGCCGAGTATAAAACTCTGTTCCTGAGGGTAACAAGCTAAGAAAGTTGTCTTGATCTCAATATTATACAAAAACAGAAAAAAAAAATTGCACTCTTTTGGTTTCACTCTAGCACAACATGCCCTTCTGGAGAATCTCTTGTCACGCTGACCTGGAAGCTCTTCGGCACGCCTTGGAACTTGAATATTTGTAGCAGACCCCAACATCTTAGCACTGGGAGGGCTTCACTCAGACTCTTACATCGGTTCCACCTATTCCTCAATGTTTTCTTAGTAAAAAAAATCCCACAGCAACTGCAGTTTTTCTTTTTTTTGAAGGAGAACCCTTTCAGTGGAAGCCTTTAAGAACTTGCAGCCAAAGAATATTGTCTCAAGTCCTCCTTCCTTTGGACAGAGGAAAATCCTCCTGATCAGTCGGTGGGATGCTGCAGTTACTGGCTAAGGTGGAGGCACAGAGCTCTAATGGCCTTTTTGCCATCAACAAGGCAAATGCTACAAGGCTGGGTCTCCCTGTCAGCGTTCTTGGTTTTGAAAGGGGAAGAGGACACAGCAAGGAGTCTCTGCACAATCCATCACATCACACAGGACCCTCTGAAAATAGGAGTGAAACTGTTGATTCTTTTTTTTTTGGTTGTTTTATTTCTTTTTTTTTTTTTTTGTATTTTTTTAATTTATGAACTAATCTCATTACTCTGGTATTAAGCTCTGTACCTGTGTTTTTCATCTGGCTTTTGGGGGTGGGGGGGATGGGGAAAGTCTTACTGTTCTAAATTAATAGCTCATTTCTCCAGAACAAACTCTGGGGAGAATCATATTGTGTACATTAGTAAGGACACATGGTACTGCTGGTAAGAACTGTAGCTGTGTTTTTGAACCTTACCAAGATGGTACATGGACTGTGCATGTGTCTACACGGTGCCTTATGCTGCCGTCTTGGGGCTGAGGATGGGGAAAAGGTACCTTGTGATGAGTGAAAGGCATTAAATAAAAACATGTTTACATTTTGGGGGACTGGATTACCTGCCTTCTCTCCCGCCACTCTTGGATCTAAAGGTAGGATGTGGAAGGTGTGCTCCCCAGTTCAAGGCTGGCCTGGTAAGATTGCTGTCAAAACATTTAAATTCTCTGGGCCTGGATGGATTTCTTGCTTTGGAAATGGCTGATTGTTCCTTGCTGTAAGGTCAGAAGGATCAAAGCCTCTCTGGAAGGAGGGGTTTGAGATGCAGCAAGGGCTACAGCCCTCAATTCTCAAAGGGTTACACAAGTGCTACACAAACCTGAGGGTATTCCTAAACTCTAAAAACATTTGGAGAAAACAGTGCTATATCTGAGAGGGGATTTTCTGTCAAGCTAAAACAGAAAATCTGATCTTAAATTAATCCAAGACAGCAGCCCCACAGCAGCTGTGACACATCAGCCTTTCAGTACACACTGTGGGGCATTTGCAAAGAGCTGCTCTCTGGGCTGAGCACAACTCCATGCCAAATGTCACTTTTCCAGCATAGGCAGTGCTGGTCTCGGGCCTTGCTGAGCAGAATTTTCCCTGCTGTAAGAACAGTTTCCTTTGCTTGTGATACGACTTCCTATTTGTGACAAAGTCAGTGGAGAATTGACTAATGCTTGCACAGTAAGTGCTCTGGTAAATAAACTTCTGAAAGAGGAATAAATGCCAGGTAGTGCAGATTCCCAGAGAAGCACAACCTCAGCTTTTAATACCCCATCAATCAGCTAATTCATCTTCCTTGAAATTCCAGATTTAACACCTGACTTAAGTCAATTGTCTGAGCACTGATTCTGTTTTGGTTTTTTTTTTTTTTTCTTAAAGATTCTTAGAAGATTTTGCTTTCTGAATCTATTTAAAGGTTTGAAAGCCCTTGGTTTTGTTGCTGGCATCCTTAGCAGAGCTTTGGGTGGGACACACCAAGGCTCAGGAACACCTGTGTGACACAGGTGCCACCATTTCCTTCCAGTCACCATGGCACAGTCATCTCTCAGTGCAGCAGAACTATGAGGATTTACTGTTCCAGGCAATTTATCATGGATGGAAGAGAGGATCTACAGCAGTTTTGTACTTGGGAACATCCAGAAGGCCTGGGAGCGTGCACAGGCACATGTACAGGTCTTGCTCAGTTCCTGCACCTGTAGTTTTATGTATTTCTACATTTCTTACATACTTTACTAGGATTTGGTCACCTTTTTTTTTTAGAGGAAAGAAAACATCTCTTCTGTAGAAAAAAAAACAATGCTCATTAATTAAAAAAACCTTCACAGGCTGGAATGGGTGCCAGAAAAAAGTGGGGTTTCCTACAACAATTTGTACCTCACTTTCTTTTTCCTCTAACACAAGGCCATGTTTCAGCATCCAGATTCCATGGGGAAGGCCAAAACATCATTTCAAACTTTCAGGTTTTGTGCTTTTCTGTAAACAGTAGCACTGGGAACATGAACTGTGGCTGCTTTACAAAAGCACAGAACAAGGTAACTGCAGGAGCAGGAACTTCAGACAATATGCAGAGATTTTACAATGTTTCAGAAGCTCCAGATAATTAAGACACACACAGAGAAGTCTTGCCCAATTCATGCCCTCGTGAGGGGCTACAACTGCACTCAGAGGCCCCATTTCTAACCCACAAATGCACCCAACACTGATGTGTGCCCTTCCAACCCCACTCCAACCAGTGGATAAATGTTACACATCAAATTGGCCAGGATGCAAAGGTTCCACACTTCTGAGACAGAAGATGCCAACATGAGTGAGAGTACCCATGATCTGGAGACTCTGCAGAAGTGAACATTCCTCCAGACTGAGCCAAAACTGGAAATCCAGGAACACAGAACATTTTTCTAAAACAGTTTAATAAAAAAACTGTGACGTTTCTTGAAAAATTGGAGAAACCCAAAGCATATCGTGTGTGTCGCCTGTCTTTAGTCACAAAGAAACACAATTGTCAAAAAAGATATTTAAGTTTAATACAAATTTTATACAAAGAAAATGTGAAAAAATACTTCCATATGCTAAAAGCAATTATGCTTCACAAATAAGGCCAGCTAGGCTAGTTTTGACACAACTGCAATTAATGAATATTTTGTTCTCGCTTTTTTTTTCTTCTAATACTTTTTTCCTTCTAATCTGGGTACTAGCTGGAGACTGTACAAACCGCATTCTTATATAAACAATGGGAGAAATCAACATGACTAAAATGTACAACAGAATGTACTGGAATGATATCATACAATTAATTTTCTCATATACATACATCACCTTTGTTTTGTTCAATGCTTTCGTTTTACACAACATACAAAATGGGACTACAGCCTCAGTGTAACAGACAGCATCTCCAGGGGTACTTCCTCTCATACTGCACTGCTTCATGCTTACAGAAAAACATAAATTCCATCATATAAATAATACATGCTCTGGCCCAGCATCAAAAGTCCTTTGCCCATGTTTCCCAATTCGTGTTTTTCTCCACACCTAGTTCTTGTTCCAAGTCCTTTGGGAGGATTTTTTAAAAATAAGAAAACTGTGAAGCATAGCAACAAACTTTACTTTCCTCGATCTTTGATATCAGTAATCAGAAATCCTGCTACAACCAGCTGCTAGCACACTTAGCAAATTTTCTGATCTTAGATTGAATGAAATTTTAAAATAATTTTAACCTGTAAACAATATTAATATTTGTTGTCAGCCTGGTCATTATGAAAAACAGTATAAAGTTTTATGGATTTCCGGTCCACATAATTTGCCTAATAGAGTTAACTGAGAAGAGATATCCTTCATCACTTGGTTGTTCAGAGAAATTCGACAAGAGTTTCAAAGTGCAGAATTTTTTTTTTCACTCCAAATGGAAAAAGTTCTTCGGATATTCTGTATTACATTATTTGACACAGTTTCCCAAGACCAGTTTTCAGCATTAGGTTGTGGTAAGGCTGTTTTAAACCTTCCTTTTCCAACTTCAAACGCTCTTTATAAGTTAAAGTCAATACAAATATAAAAAGGAGATGGTACTCTAATGACATCCACAAATTGTACATTATTTACAAAAGAAGCATAGATTTAATATGGATCTTACCTGTCCTCAATTTTCTAAGCCAGCACTAATGCTTTACATTAATGTAGTGTAATTAATGCTTTGTACACGTACACAAAGCTAAAGTCTGAACCTCTGAGGTTAATCCAAAGAACTGTGTTTATTTGTCACATTTCTATTAGATTTACTTATTCCAACAATTGTATGAACTTCTTGTTAGCAGTTAGACTCTTCGTACTTGGACTGGCATTGTGGTCTGAACATACTGAACTCCAGTTCTCATTGCCACTGTCCCAGCAGAAGGACTTACCACTACAGGAATGGTCTGTGGATTAAAACCAAGAGAAACAGATTGTTATGTTAAAGGTCACAAACATGACCACAGATATAGAGATATGTTTTCCAGGGGAAATCCAGAACAAGTTCCAATTTTGTGCAAGAACTAATACCTTTATTACCACAGTATTACCTCATTCCAGGGGAGGAGTAGTGCATTACTTCCCTATAGCCAAGAGTCTCAGTGTTCTCATCACTGCTATAGAATTACAGGGACAGGAGGTGCTATAGGGGCTGCACACACTGCCTGTGCTTGGAGGGTGAGGGTTTCAGAGTTACATCCAGTTACGTATTTTCTGCAAACTAATACATGGGAAGAGGAAAAAGGGCTAAGAAAATCCTTTATCACTTGAAAAAGTTCTGACAAATCAAACTGGAGTACAAAAATACCCTTGTTTATAAGTATATTCTCGTTACACGTTACTTAAATCTTTTTCCCCAAAAGGAACTTTCCCCCATGCATTCAGTCTACACAGAAGAGAACAAAGAACATCAATTTAAACAAAAAAAAGTACTTAAGTTAACTTCTGCACAAATCAATAGCAAAAACATCAGCATTACTGGGAACTGTCTTACACACCCTGTAAAAATATTAATATAGAATAAACTTTACACTTCCATCATACTGATCATGATTTATACATCTCAACAAATGGAGTTTCAGGACATCTCTATAGGTGGTAATTGATTCTACAGATGCAGAGACAAAGGCACAAGAATGTTAAACAATCTGGTCAAGGTCACATCACTCTGGAGAGCTGTAAGAGGATTTATTGAATCTAAAGTCTGTATCTTAACCTTCCTCCAAAAATGTGAGAAAGTCTAAAAATGTCTCTACCATACAAACTGCAAAGTGTGTTTCGATACAATTCCAGTGATGCACAACTGGTGATCAGACAAACGCATCCGTTTCAGTTCACAACATCTTGTGGAAGAAACAGGGAGGGAGATTTTGAGGAACCTGAAAGGGATGCACAGATCTTCCCTCAGTGGTAGTGTGACATTCCAGAGAGGACATGGAAGAATAAATACAAGTTCAGTGAAGCCCAATGTTTCCCCACACCGATTCAAGAAACCACATGAGTGTCTTAATGATAATTCCACAAAGACTCTGAGTGTCCCTGCTGAGATGGATTACAGCTCCTTTGTGACTGAGTCTGTGCCTTCCAGAAGCCTACTCATTCCATTCCCTGGAATGCAAAGAAGATGGGTTCATATTTTTACATTATTTTAACTGCAGGAAGAATAAAAAACAAACATGGGACCAATTTGCTAAATAAATTCAAGATTACTGCCATTTTGTAACGATTTCAGATGTGTTCACAAGGTTCAGTGGAAATGGTACCCAGCAGATACAATGGAAGTTGTTCAGCAGAAGAAATTCCTAGTTGGACACAAAGTGCAAACTGAATTCTAAAGAAGCCATTATGTAAGTCACTGTGAGTACTAGAGGTGGGGAAATTAGGGTTGCCACAGTTGCCTTTTAAATATGCACACTTACACACATGGAAATAATTAAGTTTCAGTTCTTAGCACGGTCAGAATATGGAATGTGCGAGACTCCTTAAATGTGTTCAGATCATTCCCTGAGAGGTAAATTTTCCACCTCTGCCAGTTTTACACATATGTACATTTTGCATACATATTAAACATGCACTAAGGTTTAAAATTATTTAAATTGCACGTGCAGTCATTAGAATACAGAGGTGTCTGTAGCTGTGCAAGACTAATGCAAATGTGTACAAAGTTATAAACATGCACAAATAAAGTTGGAAACCTTTCACACCTTCCAATTCTGCTTTACATAACTCAATACACTTTGTGTTACAGAAAACCAATGAGGATTAACTGCCATTTTTCTGAATATTACACAAAACCACCATAGGATCTTACAGCCTCGCAGCTATTCACAAAAGAAGCCTGATGTCTTAGAAGTCTGCTATTGGATTTTAAAACACATACAAAACCTTATTTTTAATGGTAGTTCAGTCCAAGCAACTCGGGGCTGATGCTGCAGAGGTGCACAGTGGTCTCAGCTGAGACCAAGTGGAACTGAAATGCTGTGAGGAACGTGGGAAGCCTCCATCCTCACCAAGAGCTGTGTTTGTGTGGAATCTGATGGCTGAGAAGCACCGTGCCTGAACATGTGTCCAACACACACAGGGTGTCCTGCAGCTGGGGTGTGCACAGGGAAACAGAGACAGAGGAACTTCTACAGCACATCAGGCCTCACAGTCACAGTGTGGGGAAGGTACACAGATAGTTTCTAACAGTGTATTTCATTTGTACTTTCCCTGCTGAACCCTGCACAGAGGCAGAGCATGTGCTGTGACCAGGGCAGCAACAGCTCAGAAGCTGGCTCTGGCATGAGCACTGCAGAGCACAACCAGCTGAAATAATGGGCTAAGATGGTGTATAAAATACAAAAATCCAACTCACTTTTGTCCCATCTACTGTGACTGACACTAGGGAATTCAGATGTCCTTGGTTAAGCCTTTGATAGTAAAAACCCAGGTCTGATTCCAATGTGATTTCTCATTTCATAATGCTAATGTGCAAGACTGCATGGGAGAGACACTGCTGACAAATGCATATTCTTTTTCACAGGTACTGAGATGTCACAGGAATATCAAGCATAGCTCAGAAATAATTAAATCTCTAAATCTCTTTAGAATACCATAGACAAAATGATACTTAAAAGATATTTTAAATGAATTCTATATATTTACATTGATGATGTAGTCAAGTATATACATGAAATGGACCAAAAATGTGAAATGCCTCTGCCTGTCCTCAGTGCCTTTGCCAGACTAAGATTTTTGAATCCTTGGAATAAAGGGGTGGAATGTTGCACAGCAAAATAAAGCATTTTGCACTGCAAGCTGAAACTATACTAGTGAATTCATCTCTTGATACAACAGCAGACAGTGACAACCCCCCAGAGATACTGAGCAATTTTAATGCCAGGAACAGCATTGCTGCAGACTTTAAATTATGACACTGTACTTACAATTGTGGGTTGAGTAGTTGGAATATAGGTGGTGGTCTGCGGTACCTGGACCAGTTTTATAGGCTGGTTGCTTGTCACACCTGTTGCTATCTGCAGAGACAGCACAGGCAACCTCAGTAGAAGCCTCAGCTTTTACATAAATTCCACCTAGTTGTTACATCATTATTATGATAAGCAATTTGTGTTGGACATTTTCTTCGTGTTAAAAATTTGCAACTTAATGAATTCACAGCTTACTTCTTTGTTAATAAAACAAAATTCAAATGATGAACATGGTCAATGTATACAGCATGATGCTTCAGGTAGAACATCTATATAAAAGCAATCCCATATCTGTGTAACTGGAATATTCCCTGGCAGGTTTTAGGTCTCACATTCCCTATTTCCCCAGTAATACAAAGCTTGGGCTGCCATAACAATGAATACGAACATTAAGTGAGTGAGCCAGAGTTTAACCAACTTCATCAAAACATTTAAATGAAACAGCACCTCTTTTTTCCCCCTCTTCAAATCTGTTCCCCAAGTTACTCCCTTAGATGACATTTCAAGCCCAGAGATCTAACACCAGACGGTAGCAAAAGTGTCAAGAAATGAACACAGCTCTCTAGATTACTATGCTTCCCAATTCTACAGGACTATCTTGATGAGACATCATGCTGGAATCACAATACTACAAAATTAGTTTGCTTTTAATATTTTAAAGTACAACAAGGCTCCTACTGATGTGGAGGATCATGTGTAAGGGTTTGAAGGATCAGCCCCACCCTCCCCCCCCGCTAAAATTTTTCATTTCATAAATCTTGCAAGGGCAGAAAAAAAATGATGCCAAAATTGCTAATAGTCAAGCCCTACCTATAAAGCAGAATCTTCTCTATAAACATTTTCTATATATGCAATGTTAAGTCCCTTTTTTTAGAGCATTTGCTCATCCTTGCCTACTGAAAACTATCAGAGTAGATGCTATGGAGGATTTCAAAACTGCTCCGTTAACCGTAGATCCAGGTGAAGTGTTGTATCAGTGTTATGGAACATTGTGGTACCCTAATGGCAGTCTGTGGTGAGAAAGTAAGTTGGTTTGAATGCAGGTCTTGAGCTTGGCCTCTGAACCCCCAGGCAAGAAGGGCTTGGAAGTGCTGCAGTCAGTATTGCTTATCAGAAGGCAACTTGTATCGAAAGATCCAGACCAGAAGCTACACTGATGGGTCCTGGAGAGAGAGAGAGAAAGAGGTCCAGTCCCCCTTGGCTGGAAGGATGAGTCAAGCCAACACAAGGTTCTATTGGGAATAAGTGAAGGGGAAAGGGTGTTCCCAGAGGAGAGAAGGAGGTTTTTTCACAAGATGAAGAATGAAAACCACAACTCTCTATCACTCCCCAAAACACACTCTTTGAAATATTCAAATGGTTATAAATTCCTGGTGTATCCAGGGAAGCCTTTAGGGGTAGGTTTCAGAGAAATCTTACACATTATTTTTGTTTGAAGTGATGATACTCACTGTAACACTCTCTTTGCTCTTATCAGCTGAGCCTTCCTTTTCCTTAGGAGTGCTGGCTGTTTCTGTGGGTGTAGACTGCACGCTTGAACTGGGCTGGGATGATTTATTTAGTGTTTCTGTGCTAATTTCAGTATCTGCTTCTTGCTGTGTCGCAGTAGCTAAAATCAAGGAAAAAAGAGAATGAGGCAACTACTCATGGGAGCCAGTCCACAGTCCCTCCTCAGAGCCACATCTGCACATGAAGAACTGAGCCACTGTGGATCCATCCAGCCACCCAAACCCCCCCAGCTGTGTAAGAGGCACCGTTACCTGACTGTGTGCAAGATTTCATATGCTCAGGCCAATGAGCTTGTTGGCAGGGGTAGTCACAGTAGCTGGTGTTCCAACAGCAATAAAAGATGGCCTCTTTCTTGCAGTTGGCACACCATTGCTTCTTCTTGGTCTCATCTACTGCTTGTTGCTTTTCCAGTTCCAGCTGCTTCTTCACCTCAGCAATCAAACGATCTCGTTCCTGCTCCAGGCTCTGACGCATTTCAGCCATTGTCAGTTCTATTCAAAATCCAGAGAAAGAGGGGTTTGCATTGTCTGCCCCCCAACAGCAAGGAGCAAAACACATATTCAATATAATATTAATTATATTTAGTTATTATTTAATATTAATAAGTTTAAAGACAACATGAAATTAAAACTAGCAGTCAAAAAGTGTTCCCTGAGTTTGGGCATCTGTTTAATACCTACTTGACAAATGCAAGTCTTCCATCTTCTTTTCTTATTCTGGCACCATGATTTTTAACCATTACTTTCCATTTGTCTAACACTTTAGTTCTGAATGTCCCACAGAGGACCAGAATACAGCATAAGCACAAAAAGGACAAATGCAGCTGCTGCTAACGTGCTTTGTCTTTGCAAGCCCAAACTTTTGTTCAGCTCCAATATTCAGAAAATACAGAGGATTCCATCTCTCATCTCATTTGTTCATGGAATCTTGGTTTCTTTACAAAGCAAAATGTGGTAGTTCCAAGCGGGACAATGTGCAGCACCATGTGATGAAGGTAACACACACTAAAAGCATTTCCATTTCCTATGTAGGACAATACCTTACACGCTGTTTTGGACTGTCAATTTCATACCTAGATTGTGTTTCATTTCTGAAAGTTCCTGTTGATGTAACCATTGAAGTTTTTCTATCTCAATCCTCAAACGCCGAATCTAAATATTAAAAATGTAATAGTTAGTAATAACAAACAGGGCGTGGTGTTTAATACATAATTACTATATAAAAAAACCATGCCCAAAGCAATGAGCCATTATTTACATCAAGGCTCTATCTATCACACTTCATATAACATGAGGACAAGACAATTGTAAACCAACCCCAAACCAAAGTGTGAAGGAATCTAATTATCTGTTTGCTAAATTTGCTCACCAGAAAGAGCACAGGACTCTTTGAAGACAAAAATCTTCTGTTAAACTTACTCTTGATTCCTCCAAAACTGTGAAGTCCTAAATTTCTGAATGGAATCAAGAACCTATTCCTCAGTGCTGTTTGCATTTATTAAAATAATATTTCATTTATTTTATTTTTAACTAGATGAGGCTTAGAAAAGCAAGATTACACAAGTTTGTTGTTTTTTTATTCTTTCACTAACCTCAGCTATTGTACTTCCAGTAGTATTTTTTGAAAGATCATTATATATTTCAGTCATTGTTCCTTTGATGGCATCCATCATCTGAAAGACAAAAAGAAAAAAATTTCTTTGGTATATATTTTTAAAAGATTTTTTCTTTCAACCCCTCTACTGGGAATCTATATTGCTACCCTTCTTTCTCTCTAAATATATGTAATTTACCTGTTTCTACTTATTTAGAAGGTAGAGCACAACAATTTTGATCAGCACTCTGATTTTCAGGTGTCCTGAACAGGTGAACTGCTTGACTTTCTACTTTTTGAAGAAATTATTATTGATATAATTTATGAAAAAAAAATATATAACCATGAATTTGGGGAAGAAACGCAATGCAAAAATATATAGTATTCATTGATTTTTTAATCTAAATATCTAAAAGAGTATGGAAAGCTCACATCCCCCTTCCCTCAGTGTCACTCTGATGAGACCAACACTACAGCACCCTTCTCTGTAACAACCTAGCACCTGTTTAATGCATGAACACACTTCTATGACAATTTCCAACCTGATGAAACTACAGGGTGTTTTAAAAGTACAACTCCTTCCTCCAGAACTTACTTTGCTGGTATATTTAGCAATATCTGCAGCCACATCAGCTGAAGCTGTTGCAATTGGCAAGTCTGTGTTGAGTGAGGAAGAAAGTGTGCTTGCAGATCCAGAGCTGGTAACCATGGAAATGGGCTGAGTGCTTGTGACCAAGGTTATAGTGGATGTGGAAGTGCTCTGGGTGATCTCTTTTTGCTGCACAGCTAGGAAAAGAGAACATTGAGGGCATCAATCACATAAGGAATTATGAAAACAAACTTCTACCTTCAATATCTAACTAAACTGAGTGCATGTAACCATTTCAGATTTATTTATACAAATAAGTGCCATCTAATGATTAATTACACAGTGCCCAGCCACTGAACTTGTACATAACTGTAAGGCTCAGAGGTAATGAAGCAAATATAACTTTGAAACTTATCATTTTAGACTGGCCAGTGCAGAAGACTCGCTCAATTTATCTGCTGGAGTATTTTTAAATAGTATTTTTTTAAGAATAAAATGCTTCAAGCTATTTTTACTGATTCATATTATAAAAGAAGTTTTCCTTGCCAATATCCTCAGTAGTGAAATTACTGAAATGTCCATTTATTCATCTTTATGTGCTATATTTTTGTTTATGCCAATTCAGTACATAAGAAATCTATAGATTTTATAGTTTTCACATGATAGATTTCTAGACTATAATATTTAAGATGCAACATTGCCATGATGTGCTCAATAGTAAACAATATTGAGAAAAACTCATGGGCTGAACACAAAGTTCATCCCATACTATTAAGGTATGTGTTGAAGTTCTTCAACTTCTCCAATTTTCACATTTATTTTTCCTCATTGAATATTTCTGTATCAATTTGTGAAGTCTACAAGAAGGAAGATACCACTTCCTCAACACTGTTTAAATGACAGAAACAAATGCAGTCTGGGACCAGAGAAGTGAGCCTCTGTAAATGTCTGTATGTGAACCATCACCTAAACCTCTCTCCTCTATAAAGTCACCTGTGTGCCAGTCAGCAGAGTGGAGAATGTCTCCTCATCAGGCACAGCAGTAAACATTTCAGGTTATTAACTTGAAATGACAAATGAAGCTGATTTACATAAAGTTGGTATTAAGTGAAGGGAAGAAGCAACAGCAGCACAGGCTTGTGTTACCCTGTGCCAGCTCTTGGTGAAGGCTCCAGCAAAGGGATGGTGAGAAAACACTTGTGAAAACATTCTGAAATGCCAGGGCTGTTTGCTCAGTAAACTAGCATCAAAGTCCTGTTAAACAACAAAGACAAATCCTGGAGCCTGGGTAATTTCATTGTTGTCAAATTATACTCTGAAAAATCTTCCAGATCCACTGCTTGTCAGATAAAACTGGAAGCAATTTGTAGGTACTGAGGTGACACTGGTAAACATGCAAGTGGGATAGTTAATAGTTTTAGCATATGATCCAGAAAATGATTCAGTTCACCCTTCCAAATCTGTTATGGCTATGAAAAGCAAAAATATTTATACAGACACACAGTTTTTTTGTCATTAAAATAAGGAAACATGACTCTAAATACACACCAGAAAGAGCAAGTACAATGAGCCACTTGTGTACTGAAGACACTTATCAGAGTAGAACCAGAGTTCTGAGATCTTTTTTATACAGAACTCTTGTCTGGGCACCCTTGGAGCCCAGGGATCACCACTGGGGAATTATGGCACCACAGGCACATTGAGTTAGAGAAGTGTGTACCTTTAACTGCTTGTCTTGTCTGGTATCTTGTCCCCTGAGAGGACTGAGGCTGCTGTGACTGAGACTGCTGGCTCTGCTGCTGCTGTCTCTGTACCTTCTGCATGTGCCATTTCTGAGAAGATGTCTGGAATTTATTTGAAGAATTCCACACCACCCTCTGCACAGCAGGGGCTGTTTCCTTGGGCAGCAGAGGCCTCTGCTTTTTCACAGGGCTTCCTGTGGCAGCTGAGGGGGCACTGACAGTGGAAGCAGCACTGGTGGTTGCTGTCACGCCGGCTGGGGGGGTCTGCGATGCGGAGCGGGTGAGCACTGGAGTTTCTGGTAGAGGCTGGGTGCTTGCACTGGAGGAAGGTGGAGTTTTACCTACAACTAAACAAGCAGAAAATGTTACACCAGCTTTTCACCAACACATCTGATTCATAAGTTTCCATCTAGTTTTTGGAACAGCCATATATACCTTCCAGTCTGCTTTGAATTATTTTCTTCAAAAGTAATCAATATTCTACAAGTAAAGTCATTTCAGTCTAGTTGAAACTGGTGGCAATTCAGGTGCATCAGTAACTAAGCAAAACAAGAAGTACAAAACCAAGAAAAACCAGCCTGACCTCATTCAAAAGATATGTGAGAGGTTAGCATTTGTTAGGGTGTTTCTTCCACTTTCACCTGTCATCCCAATTTCTTTCAGGATAGAAAAAAAACATTCTAAAGGATTAATGTCATCAGTTACTGAAGGAACACTATAAACTTTCTAAACAACAGTGAACTGACATTGACAACCAAATGCAGATGACACCACATTGGGCAGGAGTGCTGACCTGCTCGAGGGCAGGAAGGCTCTGCAAAGATTTGACAGACTGAATCAATGGGCTGGGACAACTTAATCAGGTTCAATAAGGCCAAGTGCTGGGTCCTGCCCAGCAAAAAATATGTATATTCATAGTTCTACATTGCTGAAAGGAAACAGTAAAACTAATTCTGTTTAAACCAGAAACTATAATGGGGACTCAAAACTTTTTTCATAGGCACAAATGTTGAACAATCACTCCTAAAAATTGCTTTAATACAGCTATTTTTATCTCAATGAAAAAATAAAGGAGGCAATTCTACCTTTGGTAACAGCCCTACAGAACAGAGGGGAAAAAAGGAAATAATTCCATCCTACCATCTTGTTTAGGAGAAGGTTCTTTAGAATCTTTCTTGTTTTTCCTTCCTTCACGAGCACAATGATCATCTCCAAGATCGATGACAAGTTCACTCTCAGAATCAGAGTCCAGTCCTAGATGCACTGTTGGAGAGTCTGTTTCATCTTTACCTTTCAGCTTTTCTTTTGCAGGATGCTGTAAACTCTTTCCCTTTTCAGAAAATTCTTTTTCAGTGTCTGAAACAGCCTTTTCCTTGAGTGGTTCTTCTGTTTTCTCCACTTCTGGACTTGTGCTTTTAAGTTCCTCCTTGTCTTCATTCTGTGCTGGAGGCTTAGGTTTTTTTTTCAAGCTCAATGATTCTTTGTCACTTCTTGCACCTTCCTTGTCCTCACCATCATCTTGATCATTCTTTGATTTCTGATCCTCATCACTGTATTCACTGTCACTGGTATCAGATTTCTCAGAATCTTCAGAGTCACTGTGTTCTACTGCAGTATAAACAGCTTCAGATATTTCATTTATTCCTAATTGTGGGAAGGAAAGCACATTCCATGCTGACATCAGACTGACTGACATTACCAAGAAAATACTGTATATACAGGAACAAAGTGTACACATAGCATTACCTTAACTGTCAGTCCTTAAGCTACAAAGCTTAGTGCCCTATCCCAGCACCACAATGTATAAGAATGAACTTCTAGATACTCCAATTAATATTTTTATTTCATTAAATAGCCCTCCTTTCACTGCTTTTCCCCCACTACCTGCAAGGTCTTTTGTTCAACTCAGTTCTGGCAAACAAAAAAAGGAGTTACTCTTACCCACAAGAAGCCACCTTGAAAATAAGCAACACTATTTACCTGATTATAGTTAGTTTCATTCTACATTTTTACATTTGTGCAACTGACACAATTTAGGCAGAATTATCTTAATTTTTCAACATGCAAAGCAGGCAAGACTATAATCCTCTCATACTACATGCATATCTACATCAGAATGGTACAAAAACAGGTTAAAAGATGAAAGCTTTTTGACAAAAATTTGAAGCATCGGGTCTGTGTTCTAAATAAAACTAGTTCAGTGCATTCTACTTGCCTTAGAGAGTTTGAATATCCCCTACTTTATTTTAAAACATAAAATACTTATGGTTTTACTATTCAAAAACTTATTTAACTTCCAGTTGAAGTGCATCCTTCCCATGACCACTGTGTTGTTGAGGGACACTCACCCAGTTGTGCTTTACAGCTCTCGATGGTCTTGTCGAGGTTGAGCTGGAACCTGCTGCGGATCTGGCGCTTGGGGGAGATGAGCTGCACTGGGGTGCTCTGCTGCTGCACCGACTCACTCAGCTCCTTCAGATCCATCTCAGCTTTGCTACGATCTGCAAAAACAAACACCAGCTAAGAAAAAGATTTTACAACAAGATTTGAGATCATTATCAAGATAAAACACGTTTCACCAAAAAAGCAATGCAGACGATCTGGAACATAGTGCCCTTTTTTTGTAATTATGGGCTAAATAATGACTTCAGTACAAAAAAATGGGTTCTTCCTCTCTTCACACACAAAGCACATGCATCAGTTATGGGGACATTTTCTCCATCAATGTGAATTTATCCAGAAATCCCCATTCAGGTTTGTAAAGCTGTCTGACAGCACTTCTAAACTACTAAACTACTGCTGTTATTTACTACTCGGAATACTACCTTCACAGAGAAAATTAAATAGAAATAAAATCCTTATAAGATTTAAAGACATATAAAATCTTCATAGTCATTATTTAAAATCCAAAAGTTAGGTCATGAGAATACATATAAAATGTGGATTATTTCACTGGATAGAATAGTAATTTCAAGATAAAATAATACATTTTTCAGTATATGTCAGCGAAATCTTGAGTTTTCATCTACATGTATAGAATTTTCACCCTGAAATGCACACCTGTCTGCAAAGAACACATACTACAGTGCTAAGGGTAGAACTGTCTTAGCAACCAAGTTTCACATTTTTGCTTCAATTTTCCCATTTCAGAGGCTGCATTTGTACAGCACAGTCCTATCCTTTACCCTTTGCCAGCAGTGCTGACATTCCATCAGTGCTCAGGGCACTCAATCAGTTGGAGTTAATTGAGGGAAGAGGAAGGATCCATGAAGAAGGGGGAAAAAAATTGAAGAGCAGAATTATGTTTGACCAATTTAGCTCCTTCAACTGGCTCCTAAGTAAAGAAGGACCAATTCCATAAGCTGAGAAAGACCAGTGGCTATGGAGAAGTCAAAAGGTAACACCAAGCACAATGTGCATTTGTGCTTTATTTTCAATTTTCATTCCAGAGTAGTTAAATATGACAGTATTGCCTTATTATTTTTTTTTTACAAGACATTTTCCGTTAAGGTACAATTTACAGAAAAGTGAAATAAATACAAAGGGCTGAACCAATGATTCCTCTGACCAGACATCCTTTTTAAGTCTGACTTTCATATCATATTCTTATCATTTTTTTATTGCCTCTGCTAACCAAGAGCAGGTCCTATACTATCAGAGACATGGGTTTTTTTCTCCAAAATCCCCATATATCTTACTCATTCACACCTTCATTTTTCAAATTAGCAAGTCTGCCAGTAGCAACAGATGGTTCATTTCTTATATTTTTCCTTTCTTTTTGCTGAATTGCAGACCACAGAGTCCTCCTAGCATTCTGCTGAAGATACAAAGTGTCTTTGTTTTCTGGACTCTCCCTTTTGTTTTTGCAGAGAGAAACCCTGGTCACATCACCCAGGACAATGGGACACAATGAGTTATACTGGAAAAAATCTAACATCCACAGAAGAACCTATGTCTGGCACAGCTGATGCTATTAAATGAAAAAGGGTTTTTATTTTCACTCTCATCAACAAAAAGTATATTTATAAAGGAAGTTCCCTTAAACCTGAAAAAACACCCAGATATTCTACTTGAGAGCATACAAGCACTTTTTTTCCTGGTATTACTCATGGACCATAACATCAGATTTTTCAATTTATGCTATTTATTCAAAGTGCTCCAGCTGATATCTTCCATCTGTGCCTCAACAACTGCAGTATTTTTTAACATTTTTCCAAATGCATTGTCACCTCAGATGAGATGCAGAAGAAGAAATTAATTCTACAACTATGTCCACACATGTGATCCACTGAAAAACAGACTTACGAGCTTATATCCAGGATCAGAATATCTGTAAGGCACTGAAGACATGAACTCATTATCTGAACTTGAGCTCCCCTGAAATACCTGCCTAACACCAAGGGGCAAAATCCTGATTTCTCTGTGTAATATCATTTGGAGGTAAAAAGTTGCCAGAACAGAATCAGTATGGTCACAGGAACAAAGCATGACTGAGGAAACTGACTTTTATCTGTTTGGATTGTGAAACTATTTTACCAACTTAGTACCTACCTACTCCATCTTTCAAAATTTCAAAATCCCAAAATTTACTTCTAGGGAGTTTCAAGACTTCAAGAATTCTGCTAATTCCTTTCATCCATCTATCTCCCTAGAGAGGGATGGTCAGTGAGGAGGTGATGTAAAGACAGCAAGAGAGAAGCCCTAGTAAATGCTAAAGATCACAAGAAAACCTTGCCAGCAATTCACTTGAGAGAGACTGAGTGGTGAAGAGAAGCAATGTTCATGTAATTACAACCATTAGAAACTTGCCTATTGTTTAGACACACTCATTTCAGCTAAGAAAAAAAATATCCTTTAACTACTTCCTTTCATCAACAAGAAACAGTAACAGAAACTTTCTTTTATGAGATGAAAAACCCAGTAAATCTGATGAAACAATAATTGCACGTGTGCCTCATTTAAAGACCTTTGTTCATTTAAAGCCACATACAAGCACATTTGTTCATATTATGCTGCAGACACCACCATAATTTGTTCAGCTGTAAGAATATTAGGTTTTCAAATGTCAAAACTAACCAAGGTTAAGATTCAGAATGCTTCCTGGAGTGGAAGTTCTTTCTTGCTTAGCAGAAATTGGTGTTGATGCTTGAGGAGAGAAAGGTTTGGGGCTGCCTGACAAGCTCCCTGCTTGACCCGTTCTTGTTGGTGCTGGAGAAGCTGAAAAAGTACAAAATTAATAAAGACAGATTTAAAACCAGAACACCTACTCATGACAATTCTAATTTTTTTGTATTTATTTCCATGTTCCATTCACTTTAATAGTTACAACTATTTCCTGCTATTTAAATTGAACAGGTTTAGTCACTTTTCAGGATTATTTATTCCTTCTCAATGTGACAGAAAGAACTGTTCTTTCTTATCTCTGATACTGAGAGTTAAATGCATCTCTTTTTTAGAATTTCTTCATAAACCAAGTAATAATATAGCCTGTCATTAAAAAGTACACAGAATAAAACCAGTCAATTTCCAAAGTTCTGTACCCCCTTTTTTTTTTTACCTGTATTTTTCTCAATGAAGTCCATGGACTCTTCACTGGCACTAAAATGACTGGAAGTTGCTTTTTTCTCTGCATCCTGTTCAACATCAGACCCAGTGTGAACTGATGAGTTTGTACTCATTGGTGACCGTGGCATATCTGTCAGTGAAATCCTGCGACCTGTGCTACTGCCCAGCATGGACTTGCTCATCAGAATCTTGGGTGATGCTGTCATATCAAAATTCAGTTTGATTTTCTCTTGTTTGTCTGTCTTTGCAGTTCCAGCAGCTGGGTTTGCAGGGTCTAACAACATTTGGTATTGATTGTTGGGAGTATATGGTGTCCGGAAAGGTGCATAATTAAATACTCCAAATTTTCTACGAATGTTATCAACATAAACCTCCATTTCTTGCATTGCACTATTGAAGATGCTTTTAGTCTTTTTCACAGAAAAAGGAATTTCTTTAGACATGAGGTAGCAATTATTTATTGGAACCCAGGCCCTATACGTAAAACAGATAAATAAAAGATAATATAACTACATTTCATACTGTGAATTGACACTGCCAACTTTTATGCACATACTAATTTATTTTTGCCTAATCATAAAGATATGAATAGTTCAGATTATTTTAAAGAAGCATCATTACATTCTTTTAATATTTCAGTGCTTAGTTTTGGTAAGTTAGCAAATTGCATGCCCTAGATTATCACTGGCTTATTTTACTTTATCCAGTAGAAATAAAATGACTTAACACTCGTCCAATATGACAAAAAATATTCCTAATTGGAACAGTCTGTGTAATTGCAAGACAAGCATTGCAAAGCAGTTTGTCATAGCACAAATCATGGCACAAAAATGTAAAGAGCAGGTAAAAAATGAATACTTCACATGCACCTTCTTAGAAACCCAAGCCAAGTTGGCCAAATTCCTCAGTGGCAGGAAAAGTTCTATCAGCAAGTACTGGGCAGTTTTATTTAACATTAAATGAAAACTGCCTCCCAAAATCCTAAGATAGCAGGAACTTTGATTTAATTCTCCGTGGCTGTGTATAGTTGGTTTTTTTACAGCACATGTTATTATAGATTTGTATTTCTAATTCATGACAAATCAACTTGTATTCATCATAGCTGTGTCCATCTAAGCAGAGGATTCACAAATACAGAGAACTCCCTTCAGAGCAAAACTGGCATTTTCAACACAGGTTATATTTCTGTATTTTTCAAACCTACAGGTTTGTGTATATTCCCATTAAGGTTTAGACAACATAAATGACTTCATTGGTCTCTTCCACTTTTAAGTGGAATACCACCAGACACAGGAATTAAGCTGCATATTCACCAGATTCTGTAGGTATCTTACAAACACGGCTCACGCTCTACAGACACCATGTAAGGGTTTAAAACTGTGTCTGCTACAATAATTACACAGTTTGTTAGGGTCAGGGTTCTAAAGACAGGATCAAAAAACGTGTAAGCACACAAAATTACAACACAATTTTTTTAAGTACAGTCAGACATCCTTTTGTTCAAGTCCCACCTGTCATGTTGGCCAAAGAAACGGGCATCGACTTGCCCATCTTTATCCCTCAGTGCTTTAGCAGGCCAGAATGGAAAGCCTTTGAGTTTAGCCCAGACCAAAGGGTGGGGATTGCTCTAGAGGAAGAGGCAAAATACACAGGAAGAAAATGTAAGCACTAGTACCTTCAAATCTGATAATGAACATGATTTTGTAAAAATTGTATGTATTACTTAGATTCAATAAAGACCCAATGTGCATAAGGCACTTACCAAATACAAGATTCCATTTTACTATAAACATAATAAATTGTGAGAGGACAAAATGATAAAATTATATTAAAAAACTACCAAAACATAAAACCTTACACATCTTGATTAAACTTATCATAGTTACACTTCTTTATTCATTTATTTTTGATTAGTCCCCTCCAAATGTATAGCTTAAGTCAGGCTAGAGCCAATCCGTGAAATGCTCTAATTTTCACTTAGGCTTGTGTCTTGGCAGATTATAAGACACTAAAAAGTGCTCGGCTTAGGGCAAGCACTACTTAGCAACAACCAAAACATCAGTGTGTCATCAACAGTATTCTCATTCTGAATCAAAATCACAGCACTGTTCCAGCTGATAAGAAGAAAAGGAACTCTTATCTCAGCTGAAACCAGGACAGTCCAAGAAAGAACTTGATGGATTACACACTTCTACTTAAGAATTGTAAGGTCTCCCCAAATTCTGTTCACTATTAAACAGGAAACAGACAACCTATCAATAGGTCATGAAAGAAAAATCAAGTCCAAACTGATGCACATTGCAGAAAGAAACATTCACATTTCAGAAATCCTCTGAGCACTGAGGGTACCACAAGCAAGCACTGCTGGCACAAGGCAGTCACCCTATTTTTGAAGACAGAAAACTTGTGAACTGGTTGCTGACAGCCTTTACAATTATTTCCAAGTGGACCAATCCTTTTGGGACAACCTGCAATCTTACAGCTAAGACATTTGAGACAGTCTGACTCCACAAGGATGATATGCCAGCCTAAGCTGCTTGGTAAGCTACAGCAGCTTTCCTTGACTCAGCAACCAGGTTTAAAACAAAGAGGGGATAACAGTCAAATGAGAACTGCTAGTTTATGTAGTAGCTAGACTATCATAATTTTTAACTTACACAAGGCTCACAAAACCAATTCTCGCGTTTTTGGCAAGCAGCTAAATAACATTCCGGACATACTTCAATTTCATTCATCTGGAAAGAAAAAGCAAAGTTATTGGAGAGACTAAACAGAGTGCAAAGTGTGGTCATTTACATTTATTCAGAGGAAAATCGTATTGTTACAGTAAAAGAACCACAAAAACTACATCTATGCATCAGAAGATGGTGGTCACTTTTTCCAGCTCCAAATATTCATTAAACAAGACAGGTGCCTTTGAGCAGAATCCATAAATCCACCTTCTCCTCTTCCCTCCCCTTCCCACAGGTCTTAATTATAAATAGTGAATATCCTACTGGAAGATATGTTAGCAATGCCTTTGCCAAATGCCATTCTGTAGGCCATGGATATGCACAGCTAAATGTAGGGAAACCTACAAAACTCTACAATACATATTATGTCACTCACAAATACATGGCATGGAACACTAAACATACAAAACAATTAATTTAATTGGGGCACTCATACCTCATGCTCACAGATTTTGATGATGACTTTTGCTGTTTGTGTCAATTTGTGATTTCCTGAGGAAACAATAAAATGCTTTAACTAAGAAAATAGTTATGGTAGAACTATGATAAAATCAACAGTTTTCAGATATAAAAGTCATCCGTAAAAACTAAAGAGAAGATCTAAAAAGACAATGTAAAAACACATGCATGAACTATATGCTTGTAAAAGCAGAACATCATCACTTTTCTTCTCAATGTAGCATTTAATAATCTTTAAATGCTCCTTTTTGTAGCCTATTGCAGCCTTCCCACCACTGACACACCCTTGCAATGAGGGATGCGCTGTATGATTTTCTCAATCAGGTCTCAATTAAGTGCTGTACAATGCAAAACATTAAAGCAATTTGAGAGTTGGAACTAAATGATGCAGGTTGGATCAGGTCATCTAAGGTCCAATGATCCTATGAACCCAAACCTTTCCATGATTCTACCTTATTTGAAATGTTTTCTCTAAGGTGGAACGAGCAAGTGACAGCACAAGTTGTATAAGGCCCTACAGTTTTATTTATGCCAGTAGTTAAAAAAACAAATTGTTGTTTTTAGGCACTGTGGTCATTAACAGGAAGATACTTCCAGTGTAGAAGTCTACAAATTGCTCCATGACTAACTATGTAAAAGTTTCATATCTGAGGATGTAAGTACATATTAATACCTACCCCCATTGTAAATAATGCAGTTGTGCAAAATCCATTTGGCATCAGCCAAAAATGCTTCAGTGCAACCGTACATTTTCTTTTTAACATTCTGTAAAGAAGAAATTAAGAATCTATCAGGAAACAGAAATCAGTAAAAAGTGACAGCTTCTTCCTGAATGTTGTGTTTTATCAGTCATACAATAAATAAAACTGAGCCCTGGAGGTGTTCAAGGCCAGGCTGGGCAGAGCTCTGAGCAACCTGGTCCTGTCAAAGGTGTCCCTGTCCATAGCAGTGGGCTGGAATGAGATGAGCTTTAAGGGCTCTTCCAACCCAAACCACTCTGGGATTCTATGATATTTATTTACTGCAGACTTTTGATTCTCAATGCTTAAGAATCTCTCAAATTCTTTTGACTGCCCTAAAAATGTATGAACTGTCTAAATTAAATCTAGATAGTGAAATACTTAGATCAACATCTCAAACACTTCCAAAAAATCATGTTTCCTAACAAAGTGTTAGGAACATGATGTTTCTGCAGAAAACAGTTTTGGTTTCTTCTAATGATGTATTATCACTTCACAGCAGTTTTAATTTTTACAAGACCCAGAAAATATGCTGGTCACAGTACATTAGACAGAATGTTTGATATTACAGTCTACCTAGTGGGTAAAGCAATTTGATTAAATAAAATCAGTCCTGTGGTTTTGTTACCATACTTTATACCATAAAGGCATCAACCTCCACTGTAAGGACACAGAGGATGAAAACTTGACTCTTCACCAGGTCCTGACAGAATAAAGTAATGCTTCACTCTTCATTAAGCAATGGAGAATTTCTTGATTATATGTACTTTCAAATTACTATCGAACTGAGAATGAAAGTTTCATTATCCACCTCTTGACCGTTTCTTTTTCTTCTACAGCTCAGGTGCAGTGGAGATAACAGTATTTGTTGAATGATCAGTAAAATGTGTCTGGAATGACCCCTGGATATACATCAAATGGTCCCTAATTAATGAACCAATGATGCATAATCATCAAATGAAACAGAAGGATCAAATGAAAATCCTGCTTTAAGAAGTGTCTCCTGGAGATCATTCATGGAATCAGATATAATTTAATAGGAGGAAGTCAGCAGTGTAAGCTTGTCTTTTTCACACTATTTTTTCCTGAGCACTTGTTACTGGCTCAAACAAAACAGTGAAGTTCAGTTAACATATGATTGTTTTTAAGCTGTAAATGAACAGACTTTCATAATAACCAAGAAACCATCCCACACATCAAAATAATTTTTAATATCTTCCCCTGCCATTTTAGAAATGTTACAGATGGCAATCAAACTCAAGAAACCTTCCTCCGTTAGCTTCATACCAACCTTCTCTAATGTACAAAGGTCCATTGGATGAAAGATATATTCTGCATAATCTGGGTGTTGATCCAGTGAAACTGGCTTTTGAAATGGCTCTGTCTGTTAGGGGAAAAAATAACCACTGGTTACTAGTACCAAACAGTTCATCAGTGACACAACACTCATTTTCTAATACTACTTCCAGCTGTGTTATCAGACAAAATTCTTCAAAGGTAATTATAAAATGCTGCAAGGTAATAAATTATTAGCAGAACAACAAGAACTAAAATGTCTCAATTGATTTTTTGTATAAGGTACTGTTGTGATTTACAAGACACAATGGCACATGTTTTAGACACACTGAAAGAAATTTTCTCAGCATTTTAAAAGTATGTGATACAACCAATTTCTGTGGTAAGAACACTTGGTAATAACAGAGAGAAGCTACATTTTCAACACATATAATCAATAATGCAGCAGTGTCAGTGCCTAGGGCCCCTGTCCATGTAAATATATTGGGAAGAGATCATTTCTCCACATTCCCCTTTTACATCCAATACAGCATTGTCCACTTTCAGACAGTAAGAAACCACCACCTTCCACTGGAAAAACACACTGTATTTTCATTACACCTACTGAAAATACATCCAGAAGTTACATCATAAAACTACATTTTAAATGCACTCCAAAACAGTCTGTACAACCTAATCTTTCTGTGCTAGACAGGTGGCAGACAGAAGAAAAGCTGTCACAGACAATCTGATAAACTAAACATGCATTATCCACTTAAGGAAGCAAACCCCAGATTATGACAAATACATGACCCAAGTATTTAAAGAAGAAAACAAAAATTTCCTTACCCCTGGCTGTTTCATTTTCTGTAGTGCAAACTTCAGTAGATATGATAGCTGTTCAATGGTGAGCATTGTCATTGCTTTACTCTGTGTTTCTATGCATTCTGCAACTGTGATTTTCTAAAAGTTCGGATTAAAAAAACATTTTGTCAGCAAACATTTCTAGATAAATCCTTCTCCACTGAAACATTCTAGCATTCAAATGAAAGAGAAGAACTGTTTTATAAAAAACAAAACCTTTTTGATAATGCAGTGTAAGTACTTCAGATGCCTGTTTTACCTGGCTTTTGGCCTGTGTATGCTACCAAAAAAGAAAAAAGGAAAAGACCGGAAAATCATCCAGCACCTTCAAGATCACGCAAAGTGAATACATGAATATGTAAAATTCCCAACTACAATGTGGATTCAGAGCAATGTGAGAGAGTGAGGAGGTCATCTGGGCTCTAACAAAATCAGTGATCAGAGGAAAACATGCCATAAAACAATTTGCTTTCATTACAGATACTTGAATGCTAAGTATTCTCTCCCCAGAAATCACTGGAGAGGAATGATTAAATTCTTCCACAGTAACAAAATACCCACTTGTTTATGTAGACCCTAAAGTGCATTGTTTTTCTGTGCTGTTGAAAAGCTGATCAGCCCACCAGAAGAAGCACAAGTTAAATTAGTGAAAACTGCAGAATGATTTCAGAATTACTGGTGCCTGATGAAGAGATCACGCTTTGAAATGGTGTTTCTCTAGAGCTGGAGGCACAAAGGAAGCTGGAGACTCGTGGTAAGAAGGCAAACACAAGCCAGGTAGCACACAGAGAAAAAGTGGTGAAGCAGAGCCATGGATGCCTCCTCTTCTGTACAAATTTTTCTGGTTGACCAGAGGCAATGTGGGAATAAACCAGAAACATTTCAGAACACAGAAAAAGCTGTTTAAATCTCAAAACCAAGAAAGGAATCCACTCTTTATATCAAACTAACCTCACATTCTGGGCAAAACCAATCCCCCTCTGGTTCGGCTGTCAGTTTCAGACACTTAGCATGATAAACCCGAGGACAGAGCTCACAGCAGAGGACTTGGCCTTCCCGATGACAAACCCAGCAATAGAAATCATTCCGTCCATCCTGTGGTACAACATCAACAGGGTCTGTGGTGAGTGGCTGCTTCATATAGTAAAACGGACCATGTCTTAGCTCTGACTGAAATGTAGGCAAGAAAAACAGGTTTGGTTTCAAAACAAATTTGCATTTTTTCAAATCATAATATTCATAATATATAAGCAAAAAAGCAATTTACAGGGTTTGATTAACATATAAGCAAGCACAGTATCTTTGTCATTGCACAAAATCATTCATAAAGAAGTTTACTGCTTATTCAGATGTCGAATGACAATTTGCACTCAGGACCAGAAATAAATTTTTTGTGGCAAGTGAGGACATTGAGTGCAAGACATGCAATTCAACAAGAGCAAGCAAACATTTTCAGCTTCAAGAAAGAAGTATTGCTATAGAAGCTATGAGGCCCTCTAAACTCAGAATTTCATGGGGCCGTGCAAGCTAAATACTGAGATATTTAGTGGTGGCTAAACCTGGGACAACTGAAGAGGTTAGTCCTGAAACAAGGAGTTGAACACCATGCAAATCTGTGCTAGTTTGCAGCAGTTTATAGCTTTGTACCACGAAGCAAGCCAATGCTGATTTTGATTAATAAGGCAAACTGTAGAGAAGGACAACAAAGGAGCCAATTCACATCCTGAGCAGCCACTACAGGAGAGATTTCATTCACCACCTAAATGCATATCACAATTTAAGACTCACATCTCTATTGGTTTGCCTGCACTAGGAAAGAGTGTTAACTTTGTAACCTGCATGAACTGGTCTTCCCTCTGAGCCTGACATCTCAAAGATGACACAGCTGACACCAAAACACAAGAAGTGAAGAGCCTGGGATGGCTTAAATGGGTCCAGAGATACCCAGAGTTTGTTATATCATCTTTGAAGAGTTGCTAACATCTATTGGAAAACTACTTTCTATTTATTAATGACAAGGAAACTCAAATTCTCTGTCTGGTATTCATTACAGGGGTGGTTTGGTTAGGAGGAAACAGCCTTGAGATTTTAGACAGCTCATTTAATGCAATTTTTTTGTTTGATGTAAAACGACTTGCTCATGACTTCACTTGAAATTATCCAAACACCTGTAGTCTGAAGAACCATTTTGTTTGAATCTCAGGTCATTTTGCAAGTGTCCTACACCATTTACAAATCTGCAGCTTCTGAGACTCTCGATCACACCCATGTGATTCACAGAACAGGGCAACCAAACGTGGGTTCTGTACCTTTGAGGCATCCTGAACAAAATCAGTCACACAGGGCATAAATATTGTCCCCAGAAAGCACCAGCATGCCACTTTGAACCATGGTATTTACAAAGGAGGAGGTCTAATTATATTATGCAGGAATAAGAGATCTTCAAGGTAGAAGCAACAACCCACCTGAAGATGCTGTATCTCAAAAAAAAACCCCAGATTATCTAACACTATAAAATATTTTAGGCAAAGAAAAGATGTTATCCATAAACACTCTGCCACCTAAAGTTTCACATGATTTTGTGCTAGTTTTGGTGGTTTTCATTTTCTATTCTACAGACGACAAAGCACAAAAAGACACTTGGTTCCCACCACAGAAATGGGCAAAGTGTTACTTCTGTTCTTTATCTATACACACATTTAATGACATGGCAAAAATTTCAGAAGGATGGTTCTATGAGATCTTGTGGAATAAGTGAGACAGCATAAGGGTTTAAGTCCATTTCAAATCAATTACTACAACAAACATTCAAAGAAAGAAACCAGAGTGGGGAAGGGAAAGTTGTACTTTCCAGTGCAGAAACATGTTTTGTTTGCAGCTAAATGCACTGCAGCTGTGAGACCAACATCTCAATCTTATACGTGGAAAGGCAGCTATGGGGCACTTCCTCCACTGCAGATAAAGGAAATTACCAGAGGAATTTAATATATATTCTGACTTTGAAGTGAACATAAGTAGTATGTTCACACTAACTTTGTAAGATTCAAAGATTCTGCTTTAAGACAAACATAAAACCTGTGAAACTTCTACAAAAATCATCACATCCAAACTGAAGAGAAGTCAGTTTTTGCTGGAACATGAGATGAATTGGTTTGCTGTTCAAGGATGTTTTTTTCATTTAGAAATCTATCACCTTATTTTGCCTAAGTCAACTTTAAGAAACAAAACAAAAATGGGTTTAGAGACTCAAGAGAGACCCAAAGAACAAAACTAAAAAACTGAAAATGAATGATTCAACTGTATCAAGGAACCTTTTCACTTGTTCTAGTGAGAGTAATAGGTTTTAAGAGTTAAAATTTTAACAGTTATTCAAGTTCAAGCTCAACTAGGTGGTTGCTTGTTTTATAGGCTTTATTGACATTATTAAGACCTGTAGAATGACAGAGAAAACTGAAGAAAACAAATAACAGTATTGTAGTGCTGTTTTGGAGAGAAAAAGATCACTATTTATATTCAGTTTAAATTTAAAAAAATGAAACTAGTAGTAAAACAAGCTGACAACTTCAATTATGTTATAATTGACCAAATTAGTGTCAGAAGTTCCTGATTTTTCACCTTAGTTACATTCTACAATTCCTTAATTCTTGGCTTGATTTTTAGCCCTTTAAATACTAGATGGCACCATTCTGAAGATCTGTTACTGCACCCACAATATGTAATACAAAGCTTTGTGCAACTGTAATTTTAGTAATGGTATCTTGAAATGTTCAAGTGCTATAAAGCACTTTGTAATGTAGAATATTAAGTTAGAGGTTTCCAGGGAGGTTGTGATACCTCAAAACAGATTTATCAGTCAATCAGAACCACAGCTATCAGCTACATCATACTCAAACTCAGGACTCAAACTAGAACCTGTATGCTCAGCTCACATCTGCTCAGCAGTGAAAGAATCTTTGAAAACAACTCCTGCTACCACAGAGAGCAGAGTTTGAACCTATTTAGACCCAACAATCTTCAGGCATGCCCACTTCAAATTTGACATGCAAGACAACATCAAATGAAAAGCAACTTGTAAAAGCTAAACAGAACTAAACAGATGATATTTTCTTGCTAACTTGTAATAAACACAGCAAAAAAAGCAAGTCTGATAGGTTTTCTTCATTAGATACACAACTTTATTCTATCCTGTACATTTCAGGTCTGAGATACCTGGAAAACAGAAAAGTATTTACCAAGGGGAATTTATCAAGTTCAACAACTGCAACTACATTTTCACATATATTTTTAAATGCAGGAAAAAAGTGGAAATTAATACCCAAGGATTCAACTCCACTGTTTGCAAGATTATCTCTGCACTGCACAGTAACAAGCTCAGACTTAAGAGGGGCAATATCTGCCCAGAAAATGTCCAAGATGTAAAGGAATAAACCCAGGCTGCAGTGAAGCTCAGCAAATGACAAACTGACCCCAGTGTACCTCCACATGATACAGTTACACTTCCTGATTATCCTGAAATAAAATACAATTTACACTGAGTTTTAAGGCCTGATTTATTCACAGCTTTTGTTCCAGGACAACCGCAGTGAGTAGGAATTTCATTTTCTTTCTTCACCAGTACAATTGGACCAGCATAATGTGGATGCTCTTATGCCAAGAGAAAGTGCTTTGAATACTTAGAACTTAATCCTGTGTTTATATGACACTGGCAAAAAGCCCTGTGACACAAAAAAGCACTTTGAAAAACACACAGGCATATCATTAGTACATCAGGTGTGAAGTAATTTCAGTAATACTGAAGATTGATTTCATGTAATCTACTCCAAGATGATACAGATGCTTTACAACATTTGCTATTCAATACAATTAATATAATCCTTTTATGTGCATCATACAGTGAATCAGAAATTGTCAAAGTCTTGTGGAGTCAAGTTCTAAGAAGGACAACAAATGCTATCAGTTCAGCACTTAGAAGACAATGAAAATAAGGTTACAAGCATAAAGACTGAAAAGTCAGTGTGACCCTTTGATTTAACTATTTTGGTAAGAGTGTACACAGCCTAGAAATTTTAAGGAAGAGGAGGAAATATACAGAGTACCAAGGTGGAGCTGACTAACGGGCAGTAAGAATGGACTGCAAGCAGATGAGGAACTTCAGTGACATTATGAGACCTTTCTTAATCTAGGTTATCCTGCTACTGAACATTTCCTGCTAATGGTTTTAAGAAAAAAATAGCTATTGTTGGTTTTTGGTATTATTATTGCATTTTTGCAATTATTCGTAATAATCCTATTCCAAATTGCATTTATTGGTTATACATCTTGTTACCTTTATGAAATCACTAAGCAGTACACAGATGGTCTTTTTCAACAGATGTAAAACAATAATCAAAGTGCATTCAAATAGAAATTATAATACCAACTCCTATCCCCACTGCATTCAAGAACTAATATCCATTCCTTAAGAGTACAAAAACAGAGCTTCCTTGAAGCTCTGAACTGAGCTCCTGATCAGCTATTTCTACATCCTTTATTGTTTCATATTTTAGCACAATAACAGCTTCTCTTACCTGCTCTTTATTATTACTGTTCAATAAACCAGGCTTCTTTTTCTTTTTTATAGGACTTGTTGATGCATCTTGAGGTGAGTGGCCATTGGAGGAATGTGGAGGGCTGGGAAATTTCCGTTTTTGTGCTGTGCGTTCAGCAGAGCCAGGATCTGTGACAGATACAAACAACATGGTTAAAGACTTCAAACTGATGAAAAATGTTCCATCAATGTTATGGTTTGTCATTCACACTCTTCAAAGATTTTTATTTCATCTTTTTAAAACACGAGGATTTGCAACTTCATTCTCTCGGAACAAAATTTCAGCTATCCCTAATGAATATGAAATACTCAGCTCAATTAAAAGGAACTTACAGATATTTTTCAAAAAAAGCAAGTACACAATCAGCTGTAAAGGACAGTGATATGATTCTGACAAAATACAAATGGAATTTCAACACAGTTGGGTCAATAAGTTCAATTTTTCCTTAAGCTTCTAATGCATGCAACAAAACAAAATTCTACAGCTTTTGAGAACCACAGGGATCAGAATTCAATAATATCACAAGAGAAACAACTGAACCTTCCCCTTAATATTTAACTGCACAGAAAAATATAAAAAACTCTAGTGATTTTGGCTACTTTCTACACAAATCCATGGAAAATGTAGTACTATATGATGACTGTGATTAACCAAAGGTTTGGTTAACATGTGTCAAGATAACATTTAGGGAAACTATAAATAAATATGAAAAACACGTGAAAATAGAGATATAAGGACCTATAACTGAAAGAGAGAAAACAAAAGTAAGAGTGTTTGCCCATCCTGTGTTTTACTACTCTAGAACAGCTACACCAGGCTAACATCTGGAATTTCAACAACTTCAACAATTCTAGAGGTGTTTGACACTAGACCTGTAGGCACAGACTTCAGCAGTGCTGTCCATATTAGTGCCAGCTCTCAGAGAAACTCTTCTGATGACATAAGCTATAAAATGTAGTAAAGCTGGTTTAAATAAACAAACAAAAACCTGTCATGTTTTGAGCTTTGACACTGAGACCTGTGACTGACTTCCTTTAACACACACCCCTCCCCTTTTACACGTACTGGCAGCATTTAGCACCAGTTATCTGTTGATATGCCTTGGGTGAAATCAATCAATACAATATGTCTGAGGCCATTATTGTTACTTGCTGTGTTTGGATTCAAGCAAATCTGCCTCCTGCTCCATTTAGGTCAAAATTTAGATTGATTTGACAATAAAAAGAGCTGCTATTTCACCTACGTGTGTGAAACATACAGTGTCTGCCTCCTCCCCTCCTTAAGCAATTATGACAATAAAAATGCCAACACAGTACAAGAATGCTGACAGGGACTCAGAGGGTTTGTCAGTTTAGCTGATTATGCACAGAAGGTGGCAGAAGAACTCCTCGGGCTGGGATATGCTTCATATATCCCAAGAGAGCTGTGCTAATCCAGATATCCTGGAAGAAACTGCAGCATCAGTGTCAGCTAAACCAAAGCCCACAGCTAAATCAAAATGAGCAAACCTGAAACCAAACAACCTCTGAATGCTATGTTTTTCATGAAAGTAGAGTGGAGCTTATTCAGCGTGGGAACTGTTTGCATTCAGAGTGATCCACAAAAAACAGCATCATACCATGTCTTTCCTCATCTTCCCATCATCACATTAAAGTCTTTGTTTCTTTATTATCATTTGCAAGGAATGTCCTCAAAGGGGTCTCTAAGGCCAAGTTTCTCACCAGCAAATAAAGCTATCTCCATAATTCTCTGAAGCGATTTGGGTTTTTATTTCCAGACTGTACCTATGCAGGCACACCTTAAACTAGGGGGGGAAATGGACAGTAGAGTTTTCTGCCCTTTGGCTTTATTTCTTACTTCCAGGCGCAAAACTGCCACCAGTGGAGCACACCAGTTTCATTTCAGCTCTACAGCCTCACTTGTGAGATTTACAAAGAAGCTGTGACACTGCATGTTGTGTTTCAGCTCCACGTATGAAAATCAGCTGTAAAGTTCCCGCCCCCATAATGTGTTGCTTTTGGCTTTTAAATGCTCTTTATTTCCTAAACTAACTAATTCAGGGTCAGGAAAAGTGTTAAACTGTTATTAGCTAAACCAGAACTGAATGACTATTCAGTGACAGCCAAATCCAAGCTCAAATTCAGCAGAAAAGGTGCTGATTCAATATCAATCTTATGAAATGGTCACACAAACATGTATGTTTGGTTAAGTAATTTCAAAAACTACTTCAAGTGATGTAATCTTCCTTCTTGGTTCAAGAAGCCTGAGTATACTGGGGCTTTTCAAATCAACTAGTGGTGACTCATAGACAACATACAAAAACTGACCTGAAATACACTTCCCTTTTTTTTTTTTTTCAGCTGGCAAGTTATTCAAATGCACACAGATTTTCTTGAGGCAATGTAACTGGAAAATTTAAGGAATAGACAGGAAAACAGCAAGGCACAGGCATATTTTTTCAGATTTAGTTGTACTAGTGGAATAGGCCAGTGTCTTTAAATACTACAGTATGCTGCCAATTTACTAATCTGTGAGGGACCTGATAATATGAACAATCTTTTAATTCAGTTCAAGTAACAAAAGAGTGCTAGCATCTTCTTAAATTGTTTGAGCTATAGTTTCCAGTTCTAATTATGATTTAAAAATCGCATTTTGTGTGAATTTCTTTCAGTGGGAATACCCTGTTTAGCACAAACTGTTGCTTCTCCTTCCCTGGCTCTCCCAGCTGTATGAGCAGAGTTCCTGTAGCTGAGTTTTGAGCCAGATTAAGAAACTGATCCCTGTTAAAACAACCTGTCAGGAGGAAAGTTAATTTTTAATTTTGGATCATTTCCCTAGTGTAGAGTTACTTGAAGAAAGCAACAAATCTGGGGGGAAAGAACAAAAGAGACCAAATTTAAGCAATAAGTTGGTGACTACAACAGTTGCTTAAGGGGTGGACTAAAGTTTCTGCTCCAAAAGGGAACAGCCAGAATTTCTGTGATAAGTATTTTTTCAAAAAGTGTTTAATGAGCAAGAATGGTCTCACCTTAGGAAGGATCTCAACATGCCAGCTGGTCACCATTCAGCACATGATCCTGCAATCTCCCTGCTCCTACTGAACTCTTGTCACACACTGAGCTCATCAATCTGAACCAAACTTCTCATTGATAATATTAAAAATATTATTTTTGCCAAGCAATCTTAGTCGACTTATTTCTTGATTTTTTTGTGTGATTTTGCTTTCTTAGCACAATTTAAAATGTGCTTCCAGCTCAAGTGGAAAAATAGACACCTGAAATAACTTTTTAAGTTCCCTGGTTTTACATCACTAGGTTGGTATTAATTGGTCTGTGATGTTGTCAAGGTTGTCAAGGTTGACAACAAGCATCTCTGAGTGCTCTTGCCAATCATTCACTGGGGAGCAACAAGCTAACCTGAGCTTCACCTGGAGCTTAAATCTTTGTTTCTGTATGCCATCATGTGACTAAAGGATTAGTAACTGCTGCTCCCAGGGATAGACTAAAGCATACTTAAACCCTAAAGCAATTTCATTTCACACTTTATGACTGTTTTGTAAGTCCAATTTTACGTGATGGCAACGCACTTCGTAAGCAGATAACTACAGTAATGACTTACTATAGTTTAGCTTAAAAAATTATAAAAAACAAACAAAAGTGTATTATTTATATCAGAGGTCTTATCCTGCTGCAGCATATGGAACACAGACCACAACCAAATATTTTTATACTCTGTGTATTGCAAAGTGCTGCACTGTAAACACTCCATAGCAGGGATTCCTGACAACTGACAAGTCTCGCTTTTCTCAATAGAAGCAGGTGCCAACTCAGAAAACCTGTAAAAGTAGGATGTTGTTTTCCTTGCTTTTCCTGTGATATTTAAATGTAATTCTTCTTGAAAATAAGCAACATCAACATGCCTTACTGTAAGAACACAGCATAAACTGCTCAGTACCAAAGACTGACAGTGACACCTCCTTATACCCTTCTTTTCATACTCTTTTTTGTTATATTTTTAATTGAAAAACTTCAGCTAAACACAATCAAAGCAATTCCAGACTAAAACAACAGTGAATTCATTTCTACATATGTGTTTCTAGGCATCTCTTACATTTGGATTATTTTCTCTCCCAATAAAGCCTTAATAAGAGCTGAAATCCACACCCAAGTCAAGGTTTCACAGCACCCTTCCACAAATAAAATTTGTTCCTTTCTTCTTTCTCTAGACCTGTGGTTGGTTCACCCAGGAAACAAAATGATTTGGAAAACTGATATGGCCTAAATCAAGAAGAACCTTAAAATTTAATTCCAGTTAAATTAGCAGAGCAACAAGTGCCAGAGTTGAATGAGCCAGCATAAGGGAAAAGGATGGAAACGTGATGATGGAGGGATGCTGGTATGGCAAGGCAAATGAAAAAAGCCTGAGTAAATCAGAATTGCAACAGACTATGATTTTCAAATTCAACCTCACAAAAAAAAGGTAGGCAAACAAAACAAAAACCTTCCCAAAAAGTGTGGAAATTGCAGGATCAAATCTTTTACTGTGAGAGAAGAACCATCTTTATTTGAGATTGTGTGCATGGAAGGCAAAGTTTTGCATTTCAAAATACAGCACAGACAATATAAAAACCCAGAACTTAACTATATCAAGTTTACTTTCATGAAGAGTATTTCTTATGCAAATTCTGTACCTAATTTTCTTAAATTGTAGTCATAAATCCTATGAAAAATGAGCTGTTTACCGCTTGAGGAATAAAACTTTTCTGTTCTGGAAATTTTCAGAAAGTGAGAAGAGGGAAACTAAGACACATTTGTTTAAATAGCAACAACAACAACAAAATAAAAAAATAAAAAAGTTTTCCAATATGATTTGTGATGAAGATGGTCAGATAAGCAGTCATCTTGGTTTTCCAGGAGCCAGAAACAGCAATGTACTTTTTCAGTGAAAGCATTATTTAAGCCTCCCAGAAGATATCAGTAAACTGAGACTTAGTTACACCAATGAGTTTTCTGTGATCTAAGCAGGTTTTTGATGTCTCAGTATAAGTGGGTCAAATATGCAAGATTCTGAGTAATGTTTCCAACTAGAAACACAACCAAGTGTTCCACGTAAGACAACAGAGCCAGCT